GTCCTGCTGAGCAAATGACGGCTTAGAGGCAACTTTGTCTTATTATGGTGTGAAGACTTTTATTTTTGTTTTTGTTTTGTTTTTGTTTTTATCTTTTCTCACATTGTTTTCAAAATGCGGAACATGCAAGCCATCTCTCGATTTATGATCGACGCTTCTTGCAGCAACAGAGAGGTGGTGGAATCTCCATCCTTGGAGATATTCAAAAGCCGTGTGGACACAATCCTGTGCAACATGCTCTAGGTGACCCTGCTTGAGCAAGGGGGTTGGACTAGATGATCTCCAGAAGTCCCTGTCAACCTCAACCATTCTGCGAACAGGGCCTCCCCCGAAGACTTAGTTGTATCCTGGACACACTGGTGGTTTCACCTGCTGCGGTGTGTTGGACAGTTCTGCGCCTGTTTGGCTAGGTTATCTGACTAGACTGCGGCTATGAAAGGCAGAGATGTTTCTGTTTCTGGCTTCTGTTTTCTGGTTTGCATGGAAAGCTTCCTCCCTGTTTTTTTGCTCTTCAACATCATCTCTTGCTTTATGGCTAACTCTGGTCGTAATTTCTTTCTGGACCGGAGGTCAGCTATGACTGTATTGCAGTTCTCTAAACCCCCTTGTTTCAGGTGAAATGTTTCAGATGAGATGCAGCCTTCTCTGAATGCAACAATCTCCCTGGTTCATGAACCGATTAATGAAAACTTTCTTCCAATAGAGTAAATGCATAGTTGCTGTGAGGCCAAAATTTAGCTGGGAACATCCGTAAAAGAAACGCAGAGCACCTCCCCTCCCCACGCCTCAGCGTCCTGCTTCCCAGGCCCTCCGTCCAGGAGTGGGCACTGGTTCTTGCATTCGTTTTTTTCCTGAAAGGAGGAGCGTCCTGCCTTGACTTGCTGAACTCTGTGAAGTCCCTCAGTGGAAGGAGACCCTTGGGCACTAGACGAGAATTTCTCAGAAAATCCAGGTCCTTTTCCCCTCCTGTCTTCAATACTGAACCAAAGAAACTTTGAAAACCAGCCAGCCCCAGTGCGTGTCCCTTCGCAACTGGGTGCAGTGCTCTAGGCCAAAGATTCCAGGTTCCTGGACAAGTGCTGGGTAGTTCTGGCACGTCTCCCTCTGGGCTGGGATTTTGTTCTCTTTTTTTTCCCAACTTGGGTAAGGCCCACGCAGCTGAAGTTGTGGCAATCTCTTCTTTCCCATGAGTTCATCTTGTAATAAATCGCACCAGCCCTGCAGAGGGGGAGGAGAAAATTGAAAGATGTTTATAGAATTAATTCCCCAAAGGAAATCACTTGGGGGAGGGCAAACGGGGGGGAAGAGTTGGGAATTTTTTTTGTTAGAGAAGATACATTTTTTTAGTTTGTTGGATGGAAAACAATCTGCAGTGCAACCTCAGTGCTGGGAAACAATTAGATTTCCTATACTGCTTTTCTGCTAAGGAAGAGTTTGCTACGTGTGTGTGCTGTATAGGTCTTCCTTCATCTGCTCTCTTAGTCTCTAAGGCCAGAAGAGCCTGTTGTCTGATTTCACGTAACACTCCACGCATTCCTCATGGTTACTCCTGTACTTGTTTGACTGAGATGCGTCTTCCAGAAACACCCTATTTCTTAAGTAAGAGATCAAGAGAGTCCCCCAGGTCACTCGGGAGTTTGTTCTGATGGTCATTTAATTGCTCTCCAGAAAACTTGATGCCTTCTCTGGGGTCGTGCAGCTCTCTTCCCTCCCTGGCTCGTTTCATAATTCAAAAGCAAGTGCCCTTGCACAAAAAGGGGAAAAAAAAAAAAAAGAAAAGGCATCGAACCACTTTTGCCTAGGGCAGGTGGGAGCAGGGAGGAGAGTGGGGTGCTCTGGGTGGCCATGGCAGCTGCTGCTGGGCCCTGGGCCCTGGCCTTGCTTGTTCTCCTTGCTTCCGTGTCCTGTGAGCAGGGGAGCCCGGGTCGATGCTACCATCTGGTGGCATGGGCTTGCAGCGGCACGCGGCTCCCTCCCGATGCCCGACTAGCTAAAAGGCATTGGCTTGCATGTTATGTAGCTTCATAAAAAGGGACTGTTAGGAAAACAAACAGACCAACCCCAGAACAAAAACCCTCAACCTCTAAATACTAACACTGGAAGAAAAATAGCTGCTAGGCTTATGTTGGAGAAACAGTGTTGCGGCAGGCAAAGAAATTGCCTTGATCCTGTTGGTGGATTGACAGTGCAGCCGTGCGTGACCTCATTCAATTAACTGTCCTGCATTTGCAGACCAGAACCCAGTGGTAGAGGAGGCAGAGGATGACCGTGATAAACCAAAGCTACTGGATGAGAAGGAAGAGATGGAACAGCCACAGATCAAGGTGCCCATGGAGGTACCCGAGAGAGATGAAGAGGGAGAAAAGCTACAGGAACAAGTACAGCTTGACCGGCCTGATCAAGGTAAAAAGGCGTCTGGGGAAAGGGTGTCAGCTTTGGAGTTGGGAGACGTATGTTAAAGAGTGGCCTATAGCATTATTTCAAGTAAAGATCCTGATCTCTGCTGTTTACCTTGTAGACTGAAGATGATTTATTGTTTGCTGCTCTTGAGGCTTGTTAGGAATGTGGCCTCTTGTTGAGGAAGCAAGTGGAGGCAGCTGAAAAAGGGCAGTAGGTAGTTGGGTGCCACGTATGCTGTGAACCTGCTGGATGTTATTTTCCCACATCAATAACAAGCCCCCCTAATGCTCTCTGACATCTACCCTAGGGATTGCCTTGCCTGTGGGAGAAGCGCATCGCCATGAGCCGCCCGTCCCGCATGACGAAGTGATTGTGGACATGGGGCGGGAGCGGGAGGAATCTGATGAGAACAAGCTTGCGCTCGGAGAAGCCAACGATAATCTGCTCAAGCCAGCAGTGGAAGAGCCAGCCGAGCTGAATCCCCAGAAAGAGGCGCTTGGCCTGAAACAAGGGATGGAAGCGATTGCTGAGAACCAACTGCGGGGAGGGACTGACAAGCCTGTTAAGAATCCGAAGAACGTCCTGGAGGTGAACGTGCAGCAGGATGGCAGGCCGCCATACAAAGATCTGGAGCCAGACAAACGAGCGTTGGAAGCCAAAGCACAAGCTGCCATGCTGGACGATGAGAAGAAAGCTGAGGCTGCACGTGACGAGGAGAAATCAAACCTCCAGCTACCCAGGAAAGCAGAGGAGGCTGCGAAGGCCGTAGAGAAGGAAGCTGACCCTGGTAAGCTCCCTCCGCTGTGGCTCATCAGTACAAATTCTCCTCTTGTCCTGTAATCTCCCCCCGGCGACTGGACGATTTGGTTATTTCTACCTACGTCCCAGTGATTCCTTTCAGATTCACAAGATTAGCGTGTGAGTATGCACAGCCCCTTCAGCAGCTGTTGGGGAAAAGGAGGAATCTGGTGGCTTTGACAGCTACTATAATATCTGTCAAACAGTTGTTTGCTAGCCTACTAAATGTCAGGTGCCATGCTGTTCCTGTGTGTCTCCGAACTCACTGGGGACACAGAGCTGGGAGATCTTGACAGGTAACACATTGCTAAGTGCCCATCTAAAAGCTAGTTAGAACAGTTCTTGCATTTTAATTGGCTAAGGTAGTTAGCGCTGGCTCACTGCCATGAGTCTATAAGATTGTTAAATATTTTTTTTTATTACTTCCCTTGCAGTCATCAGGTTGAATATAAACTGTGCTGGCTTAGGCAGGGAGGGACAACACGGTGTGGAGTCATTTTAGAGAACATCTGCTGCTGGAACGTCCTTATCAACTGCAAAGGTCTGTTGGTCTGTTCGTCCACAGGTGAAAAGCAGGAGCTGCCCCCACCAGACAGAGCAGCTCTAGCTCAGGCCCAACAGCTGGAGCAGAGAGAGATCAGAAATACTGAGGAAAAGCAACAGGAGAATGCAGAGAAAAAGCTGGAGGGTGAGTGCAAATCCTTGCGGGGTGCAGGGAGGGGAGAGCGCTGAGCTCCCTCTAGGAGCCTGAGGTATAAGTGCAGGATTTCTCTCTGCAGGAGGAACGTGCCAGTCAGCGCTGTTCTTCTTGGCTCTTGTGAGCACATAGCTTTAGGCCATAGTCACCTCCGCGACGGCAGCAATTAGTGCCTGTCTCCAGCGGGCTAACGCCTCCGGCAGAGGCTGGCATGTTCCAAAGTGAAGTCCTTGGCAAGACCTGCTCGAGGACGTGAGTCACGCTGGAATCTGGGCCTGTCTTCTCCCCAGTTCCCAAGTGCAGGCAGCGCTGAGTCAATGAGAGCACAACTGGAGTGAAACTGTCTGGCTTATGCAAAAGGGGGACCCAGCAGCATGGTGCTCCTCTGTGGGAACGTGGGTGGACATCATCCAACAGCCTTGGGGCCTTTGGCATGGGGGCCTGAAGCAGGCTGCAGTGCATGGGGAGACCCGGGGCGCGTAGCTGTGCAGAGGAGTGGCCTTGAAGCCCTGCCTGCACCTTTTCCTTCCCCCGAGGCGTTTCCCTGGTGGTGCTGTTACTCTGTGGTTGGCCCCTCCTCAGGCTGAGCGCATTGCTTTCAACCTCTGCCTCGCTAGGATGCGAGGGGTTGGACCCAGAGCTTGGGGATTCGTGGCCTGTGCGCGGTGGGGGTCCCTTGGCTGTGGCCTGTGCGCGGTGGGGGTCCCTTGGCTGTTCACATTCGTGTGATCCTGTGGTATTCTGGTGCAGAGCTGATGGGCGTTTGATCCTAAGACTGATAGCAGCTGGCAGGCTCTGCTCACAGGGACCGCATGGCTCTCCTCTTTGTTCGGTGATTACATCTTGGTTTCCTGATTGGTTTCTTTTCCTTTTGCATGTCAATGGGACTGGAAAGGAGCGTAAAAAGCTAGTAGCAGGTACGGACCGGACCACGAGGACTTGTCATATTTCAAGGAGGATTCAGGGATCTGGGTTTGCGTGGGGCTTTCCACCTCAGTGTGTGTATCGGACTTGCCAGGGAAGCTCTCCCATGAGGGTGTTGCCAAAAGGTACCTTGGGCTTGTTCTGTTCCCCTGCTCGGGGCTGAGCTTTGTTCCTAAAGGCTGAAAGAGGGTGGAAAGGGTGAAAAGGCTTCACCCCAAGGCAAGACAAGACAGCAGGCCCTGTAACTCCACACATGCCTTTTGCAAACAGTTGCCTCTCTGGGACTGCTGTTGCTGTGCTCTGGTTTTAGCTGCCCTTGGCTGTACGAGCTCAAGTACTTTCATTTTATAATTAAGATGCTTTTTATGAAGTGTCTGTTAAAATCTAGCCAAAGCACTGACTGAGGCCTGCTTTCCCCAAGATCAAAGGAAGAGCTGGGACTTAGCGTAGCCTTTTGTTTGTGTGGAAGAGGTGTGTTACACAAATACAGGAGTTACATGTGTTTGTAAAGCTCTCAATGAGAAACGCTTTGATTTGGCATTAAACCGTTGCTTGCTGTACGTTAAACCCAAACATTCCCATGCTGAGCTGGGACCTGGCAGACTCAGAAAACGAGATAGTAGAAATGACTTCTGTTTTCATTGTTTATTCTGAGCAAAGTGCAAAAAATAAACAGATCTTGAGAAGTCAATTGCTCTCTTGAAATGACTGAATTCCCCCTCATAACCTAGCTTTCTGTAAATGGAAGCGAAAGGGGAATTCCGGCAGCCCTTGGTTAATAGCGTTCTAATGTGAACTGAAAATATTTCCCTTTAATCACCTTGTGGGTTATTAGCAGGACAGGGGGAGGCAGTGCATACTTGAAAAGGATTAACCTGGACAGCATCCCTTTTTAATTTAAATGGCATTTTACAGGCTATTAATTTTGACATTATTTCCTTTGGGGCATAATATTCTAGAAACACCTTGAGTTTTGGAGAAAAGCCGCTTGTTGATGCGGGAGGCAAGTGGCACACAAGTTCATACTCTCCAGACATGATACGCCTGGGTGTCTGTCCAAGACGAGAAAAGGCAACAACATTTCCGTGCAGACCTGGGACTCATACTTTGTCCATGATGTGTAGCTTGCAGCAGCAAGTGAATCAACTTGAGTCATTTCTGCTTGGCCCGAAATGCACTCATCACTTCTGTGTGACTTGCTCTAGAGAGTCTTCATGGGTGTGTAGAGCTGATGAGCAAGGATTTCCTTGTGTTTTATTGACGTGTGGAGTTTTGTTTTATTGCAGCGGTGTCTCAGGTCAGCGGGAGGTGTCCTGAGACCTGGTGTAGCTGGAGTGAAGTCCTTATAGCGCGTTAGAAGAGGTGATCTGTGTTTAAGAAGGCTGGCTGATCTCAAGAGCCAAGCAGCAGCAGTGCTGGAGCTTCCTGAGGCACCACAGTCAGCTTTAAAACTAAGTCTCCTCAATTGGAAAGCTGAACCCTTTGCTCTCTTGACTGACTTCTGCCAATCCTGTCCTCTTTTCGTTCCTGTGCCAACCAGACTTCTGTCCTTATATGCACAGGGATCCCCAGCAAACCTGCCTCCTCTGTGGCCCTTCCTCCTGGCTCTTCTCACTGAGCAGTTAATGATAAGAGCTTGGCTTTGACCCTTCCCCCTATAACTTCTTTAGAGCGCAGTGTCCTGAGTTAGCACCTGTATTAGTAAGCAGCTATTCTGGGCTTTTGACTGTCATTCTTAGTGAAGGCACTCTGCAGTGCTGCTGTTGTGATTGCCATCAGCGCAAGAAGCAGAGCTGTCCCACGTGCTCCCCTCCCTCCTGTTGAACTGGCACTGGTTGCAGACTAGGACTCTCCTGCCGAGGAAAGCCACTGCAGTCCCTCCAGTGCTGAGATTATTAGTGAGGTTTTTGGGTCATGGGTTTGAAAAGGGAATTTCCTCTTGTCCAAAGGGGGAACATGCGATGAAACAAACCCTGCAAGAGGGATGCCAGAGCCTTGTGTGTCCTGGCTGCTCTGCAGCTTTCAGTGGGTCTCGTTTTCTTCCTTGTGCTATTTATTTATTTATTATATATATATATATATTTTTTTTTCAGAAGCAGGGCAGGCAAAACTGCTTGATCATGCCATGCTGCTGCAGGTGATCAAAGAACAGCAGGTACAGCACAAGCAGCTACTTGACCAGCAAGCAAAACTGCTGGCTGTGATTGAAGAGCAGCACAAGGAGATCCACCAGCAAAGGCAGGAGGAAGGAGGAGAGGAGAAGCCAAAACAAGGTAAGGATATCGCAGAAGAGCACGTCTGCTTCTGAGTTGGTCACCGCTCAACATAGCGTTAAAATCAGACTGCGAAAGATCTGAGTCCCTTTGGCACATGGCAGGATCCGCTCTGCAGAAGCCATTTCTGACTGTGTCTGAATGACCCTGCCCTCTGAGGTGGGGAATCCCCCACCGATGTCCCAGTGTGTAGGGATCAGGCTCTTCCTCACAGCTCACCTCGTTCTCCCATGCAGTCCTTGAGGCTGGTGATCTCCTCTCCGCTGTTGTGCAGGATAGGGTGGTGGGAGAAGGGAATCTGTCCCTCGTCATGAGAAAAACACTTTACGTTTCAACTTTTCTTCTGCAGCAGAAATGCAACAGGAGCCTGCTGTGCCACTCTCCAAGAGTAAGGAGGAAGACAGCCCAGGAGCTAAACAAGAAGCTGCTGCAAAGCTGGTCGGTAAAGAGTTGCTGGAGCACTCTCCACAGGGGCTGGGCAGGCAGCCTGCCAACTCAGCAGAGCAGCGCAAAGGAACTGCAGGAAATCTGGAAGAGGCTGGGCACAGGCGTGAGATTCCTGGGGTGCCTCCCAAGGATCTGAAGGTGCCACAAGAGGAGATAGACAGAGCTGTTAAAAAAGCTGCAGACAACAGGGATCCCCTTCCCGGTGATGCCCAACATGTTCCAGCAGCCAGAAACCACCTAGAAAAGAAGCCGTTGGCAGAGAATTTAGGAGGTCACGAAGCCAAAGCTGGAAGAGATGTCCATGAGAAGAATTCCCTGAAAGCTGTGGAAGTAGCTACAGCTCGCATCCAAAGAGAACAGTTAGGGGCTGCCAAAGTTCAGGGAGTAGTAGGAAAGAGTCTGGAAAGAGACTTGGGAACAGACCTTAAAGCCAAAGCACTGAGTCAGGTGGAGCCCAAAGACCTGGCACTTGCGCCGGCCTCCTCAAGTAAACTGAACGTGGCAGGGAGTGAGCAGCATGTACGGGAGCCTCAGAGAGCTGCAGATACTGAGGGGGGTGAGGGTGCTAATGGCAAACTGCAGCAGGCCTTGCAGAGGGACCTGGCTAGCAAAGTGGAGGTAAAGAAAGAAGCTCCTCGGGAGAACGTGGTGGACATGGTCCAGGACCCTCAGGGAAGTCTCCTGAGCAAGCAGAGGCATGCGGATGGGAGCCTCTCAAATGAGGCTGAGAGGAAGCCAGACACTGAGGACACTGCTGCCCAAAAGCCCGAGAAAGGAGTGGCTGCCCATGGGGACCAGAAGCTGGACCACGATATCAAACCGAACCGGGACCTGAAACTGCAGGCAGACCTGGACCTCCGCCGGAGGAGACGGGACCTGCTTCCTCCCGAAGAGGAGGAAGCTGCACAGGGGGCGGGGGTCTTCATTGGCCTGAACCCCCTTCCAGATGTGAAAGTAAATGATCTCCGGAGCGCTCTAGAGACACGATTAAACCAAGTTGCAGAGGGAGCTCAGCAGGTGGTCCACAGCCGGCAGATCAAACAGATGACACAGGCAGACGGGAGCATGTGAGTGGGGTGATCGCGCTCAGTGGGTGGCTGAGGGTGTTGGCCGCAGGCACGATGCTGATGGGCTCAGTAGGGAAGGTTCAAGTTAACCAGCTGCTTTTTTGGCCAGCGTTGCTCAGACAACGGTCAGTCTAAACCAGCAGCACGTTGTTGGATGCAGTGCTTGGATCCACGAGATCTCCTTGGACTTGTGAATACTGTCCAGGGGACTGTGGGCTTCTCCAGTCTCTGCAAGGGAAACACCTTGTGTGTGCCTAGAGGTGGCCAAGGAGATGGCAACCTTGAAAGAAAATCTCCCACTGTCCTCTGGCTTTCAGAGGTTGCCATCTAACTTGGTTCCCTGCCAGGCCAGCTTTCAAGTACCTTTTCAACGTCTTGTTCATATCGGATTGCCTTCTCCATCTGGCTCTCATTTCCCCTTTCAGGGCTGAGGCAGTTCTCCATGCAGTTCACCCACCTGATTTGGAAAGGCTTCTCTAGCGAGTATGTTGGGTTGCTTAGCCCAGCCTGCTTTGGGCTTTGGAGCAGAGGTCTGGGATTGCAGGCGGGAGGGAGGGGGAACCAAGGAGAGATGCACATCTCCTCTTGAAAGATTTTATTCTGCTTTGGAGATGCATCGATTCAGATTGGATTTAGGGCTGGCTTTAGCCAATTGCTTTGGTATTTCTTTTGAAATGGGAGCTGTTAGTCTTGCATGTTTAGGGGATAGTTGTGGTTTAGGAACCTAGTTTAGTAGAAAATGCTGCCTTAAACAGGCACAACTGCTGCTGTTGTGCTGCCTCTACTCCCAGGGATTTAATTGATTGGCCACACACTAGCAATAACAAAGAGCTTTGCTCTCTCCACCCTCTCCGGATGCTCACACTCTCTTCTGTGCTTTTAAGCTTGACTTCTCCTGTCCAAAGTGCATTATGAAGCTCAACCTGGGGGCTGCAGACTGTCCCCCAAATCAGCTTGACTTTCTGCAAGAAGCGACTAACATTTGGGAGCAGAAAAAAGCGGCTTAAAAGAGTGTTCTTGGGGGCTTGGCTCAAGCATACCTACCTCTTCTCTCTGTAACTTGATGGAGTGTTTGTTGTGTGTTCTTCACAGCCCATTCGACAATGTGTTTTACATCCATCCAAGTAATGTCAGTACTCCGCCCCGGTAACGTGTTTTATGAGCAAGAAAGGGAAAAGCTTCTCTAAGAGTTCTGGTTTGTTTCAGGCTCCCAGACAGTGATTCATCCCTCCTTTCTTTTTTCTTTTTTTTTTTTTTTTTAAATCCTGACTTGCGAATGTAAGAAATCAAATCCCAAAGCTCTCACTAGAACGGCTGAAATTTCCCAGCCTGGAGTCTACAGACCTCATCACTGTGGTGGTTTTTATATCTGTATCTCAAGTGTCTTTGGTAAACTAGCCTCTCTGCGTTCGTATCCGACGGGATTTCTCAGAGCCGGGGATGGGTCGTTATCAAGCACGTGGAACTGTTGCGCTGGTTCTGGTAAATACCACGGGGAAGGCTCTGCCTTCGGTCTTGGGTACTTTGTTCCTATTTGTCTGCTCCAGCAGTTGGAGACTGCGATGTTTCTGGAACGTGTGCCTGTTGTTTGAAGGATGTTATCTTAATCTCCAATTAAAGTGACACAGAGCCACAGGGCAACAGCCACGGATTCAGCCGAACTGCTTCATGAGGACCAACTGCGTTACTTCCACGTGTGTCTCAGATGTGACTGACATAGCCTTAACCCTCAGGACTTCCTCCATAGTACAAGTGAGCTCCTCCATTACGCTGTCTTAAAGCACAACATGGTTGGGAATCCTTGAACTGCACGTGGCAGAAGGACCGCTGTAGGTGTCCTGTGCTAGCGTTTGTCAGGTGCAGGTAAGGCAATAGACTGCTGATCACATTTCTTAGCGTTAAGTCTGCACTGGGGAGGCTGGTTCATGCTCTGTCCCCTGTGCTGCACTAATGAGCCTTTATAAAGTAAAAGGGAGCTGGAGGAGGAGCTGGATCCCCCTCCCTTCTTGCACTTTGCTGGGTACCAGGGTCTGTCCTGGGCTCTCCCATACATCCCATGTCTGCACGGCAGGGTGAGGACAGGCTCCTTGCCCTGTGGCATCAGGACGTGCCTGTAGCAGTGACGTTCATTGGCATTGAGTCACCTGCATGAACACGAAGGACCAAAGATGCTTCTGACGTTCCTCAGCAAACGGAACAGAAAACGGCCATGGATTCTGGGCATCCCCCACCTCAGCTGGAAGGAGGCAGGGAGCTGCGTTGCCTCTCTGTGCCAGGAACTGTTTGTACTGGGTGTGGAGCGCTTGGCGGGAGAGACTGGAGGGGAGACTGAGCTGTGTAGATCAATAAAATAAGCTGAAGCATTTTTATCTGAATTCTTCTTTGTTTTAAAAAAGCAATCTGTGAGCCCTACTCAGCCACGGGGCTGTGGCCCCCCTGGCAGGGAGAGGAGTCTGCTGTGCTCTGTACCTGCAGGGAGTTACTTTGCCTAAGGAAAAAAAAAAAAAAGCTTTGTGCTTTCTGCTTTCTTTGAACCTCTCTCTGCTCCACCCTTCCCTGCTGCTGTGGACTAGGGTGGTGAGAATGTGATCCTCCTCCCGCCCCTCACAAACACAGGACCTGTCTTTGGGAGGAGAAATCTGTCTAATTTGAAGTTCACGGGATCAAGCAACTGCAGCATTGCTGCTATTAGAGCTCGAGTATTCAAAAACTGGCTGCAGGATCTGCTGGCTTCCTTCCCTAAGCGTGCTGCGCCTTGGACCGCCAGCTGTTATCTTAACCCAGAACTACGAGCTTGGAGGTCTTGCAGCCCTAAATGCTGGTTTCTGACTCACAAAACGGTGACCAGCTCAAACAGCCTGCACAGAGCCTGGGACCTTGAACCTATAACTTCTTGTTACAGGAAGCTTTGCTCTTTAGCAAAGCTGGAGCTCATATGCAGCTGGGAAACAGGCCTGAATCTGGGACTCCAGACTGGAGAAAAAGAGGATTAGAAAGGAGAAGGAAAGGTCTCTGTGAAGCGTAGATCTAAAGTGAAAGGAGTTCTCCTTTGGCTTAGCGTAAGTGTCTGTAGGCCTGCTCTTTCCAGGCTGGGGCCTGGACGGGATTTTGATCTCTGCTCTACAAGCCAGGGCTGTCTCTCCAGTGGCTATTCTGCATTTCCTCTAAACCTGGCAGTTCTGGCTGCTCAGGGGAAGGGGAAGTGGACTCCAGCAGCCCCAGGGCAGGCAGATGCCAGAGACTTGTTCTAACAATAGAGTAGTTTGAGCATTGTCCGAGTGTACGGCAGCAAACAGAAAGGGAACAGCTACTTGCCGGACGGTAGCTTGGTTTTCCACAAGCTGCTGATGGTTCTCATTTGCTGTTTATTTTGTAACTTAAGGACAAACTGACTCACGTTTTGGAGTTTTATTTTAAAAATATTTTCCCAAACATTTATTTACATGCAGCGTTTGAGAAACGGGTGTACGTAGGAGAAGCGTTACGTGAAATACCACCCAGCGCTTCCCTTTCCTTCGCCCGCAGCGACTCGGGCGGCCCC